TACCGATAGCCTTAGATGTAAAAGTTTGAAAAGGTACGAGAGGCAAATCCAACGTTTAAATGTGACTGAAGTGCTCGTTCGACGACTTATACTGCCCCACCAAGCGTGACAGTTACGTGTTCCGAAGGGAATAAAATTTAAGCAACACTCAGAATAGCCTCAGTGACTTACCATCGGACAAGGCAACTGAGGTCACATTCACCCCGGCGTACAAGGAGAGAATCTTCGTTTTAACCGCATCCTTGAACTTGTCCAATTTACTTGCTATACTTGCCAAGGTGCCAGCGAAAGTTATCCGCACTGTCTTCGAATACGCCGTCGGGGTGACGTCACCAGTGACTTGTAAAGGAACGGACACTAGAGCAGGTGTGTATGCAGGCAGCAGATTGGACGCATTATTGCTGTCGTACGCTCTCAGTCCGAAACAGAAAGTGTATGAAGCCGTGCCGGAAGGAAGTGATCCGTTCCAGTAATAATCCGCCAGTGTCGGACTAACGATTGACCCGGTCGTGTTGGATTGAGAGTTCACATCACTGCAGAGACCCGCGACCAGCTTCCATGAAAAATTCTTCAATACAATAAGGAGCAGGGAGCCAAATGAATGTGAGAATAGATGAGCGGTTTTAGACGCCCCAACGTGCAATATTCAGGATGATCGTGCTAGCAACTGAGTGGTTGCTTTGACTAGAAATACGCAAGGTTTAATGCTCTAGCGTTTAGCTATGTCCCGGTCACTGCTGATTAGCCCACTCAGTTTTGACAGTCCAAACTCCAAGGCCCTTGTTACCGGTATTCCGGGTCAGGGTGTTTCTGACTAAGTCATAGCCCCCAGGTTGAGTTGAGCAAAGTTTCATGTTTGCGAGGCATTTACAAAGCAAGGATACGCTGAATCGCGCATAGACAAAAAGTGAGTCAACTTGATCAGCTGTGTCCGTCTCGTTCAATGGTTCTTAGGTGTCCGTTCCAGATATGAGGTCCCGGATTCCAGTGATGCATCTATCCTACTCCTGAGGTCAAAAGGTCCCAAGTGTTCACTACAGATTTTCAATACGCCGTATACGACGAAACTGACTGTGAAATTAACGTCATCACGGTTGATTGCAGTATAAACTTTTGGTATGTTTGATCTAATAATAATTTATTTCTTTACCTATTGGTTTATCGATCCTATGCCACTCTGGATATGATAGATTCCCGCTTGAAAACAGAAACCAGCATCGTACGTGAAGAACGAATTTGTCCGTATTGCACCCAACTCAATCACTATACCTGTGAAATACTGAGAATCTTTTTTTCATCTATTGTAGTTCCTGTTTGTCTGTTCGAACCCAATCGAGATCCCTGTATGACCTCGCAGTTAGAATGCCCTGAATAAGCCAATATATCGACCAAGCGGAATAGCGACAAAAATGAAAGAAATGCTGACTCTCCAAGTAATTTGATTGATCCAGTATTCAAAACATTTTTAAAAAAATTTTCAATTCCTCCTGAGCGACATTTTTCCTAATCTGTCAAAGGAAATATGCGTTGGATCATGCAGACTGTTGCATACGCGCCTGCGGCTTAAGCGCGTAGATTCTCCCGATCTGCGCATCGTTAATTTGCTCGTTCCACCAATGTTATCGATTGATCAGATCGATCAACCTCATGCACTTGTTCATGCCAATACCGCCGGCCGACATGGGCCCGATCCTGATTGGCTGTTAGTTCCATTACTGTCTCGTTGATTACACGCTTGACACGATTGAGTGTAAATGAGTCACAATAAACCTATCCTACCCGGCGAGCTACGGGTCCGAGGCTACACAGTTTGAAATACAAATGCGACACAGACTAACGAAAACATTTGGGCTTCAAAGTATTGAACAGTTATCTCACGTGGTTTGAAGCATCCGCGTTTACTTCTCCGTTGTACAAAAGTGAATTCGTATGAGATAATTGGAACAGGGACGAAACAATGTATGAAATGAAAACTTACACGCCAGTCCAATCGTTCGGACAGCCTTCCAGTACTGCGATCGTGCATCTGAATTCGGAACATGGGTACTTTGGTGTTGTTTCCGGTTGTCGCATTTACTCGATCAGCCGTACCAATCGAAGTTGCTGTGACATTGAACAGACGCATTCCGACATCGAAGGACAGGTCCCTTCTGAGAACCACAGTTGAATTGGGCGCGGTGATCTAGCGGGTTTTTTAAATGCAACCACTTAAGAAGGAGAATCGGCGTGATTCACTCGTAAACTACCGCACTGCATTAACAAATAAGCCTTACTTTGTTTGGATTGAAGAGAGAATGAAATCATAGATTTTGAGGAGGAAGCCCGCAGCTACTCAAACAGTAACCATGATATACTGTGAACATGGATAGTTTCGGCGGTGGTGGCTCTGGGACACGTGGCTTTTGGATAAATGATCTGCCTACCAAGTACTGTTTAAACATTTCATTTTCATTTTACTTCCCCTTATTGAGTATAAAAAGAAACATCTTTCAGGAAGGGGGAAGTGGCCAATCAAAGGGCCGTCTACAACACACATAATGGAGAAAGACAGGCGGTGGTGGTGGGATCCGAACATGCGTCGTCCGAGGTGATAATTGGTGACGTGACCACTAGACTACCACCGCCATCATGATGAAAGCATTGGTGTGACCGTTCCGCATACACTAAAGAAGCTACACAAATATGGGCATAAGTGAACCTGTGTCGAAGACTGTTGGGTAAACATAGCAAGTAGTTCAACCTGTATGTGACTTGACATCGCTGTTGTGATCACGGCCGGATCAACACAGGATTGTAGGACATCTTCATTCCTACATAGGCTTCCCGCTGGTGGTTAAAATAATCCAAATCACTTGACCACGTGATTATTAATGGTTGTAATAATCTCATAGTTCATGTTCTATCAAACTTCGTGCTCAATGAGTAGTACATGTGTGCTTACCTCTTCTGTGATAGGAGACCCAGTTGTCCACTTGTTTGTGTTTAGTCAATCTTCTTCTGCTGATTACTAACGGGTAATATTTCTAGCCGCTGATTATCAGGAAGGTGGGTTTGCAAGAAAAACAATGCAAATGTATTGAACAAGGTTCGAGAAGGGCCGATATACCACCATTGGAGACTGAATTTTCCTGTCAGATGTACCGGAAGACTAAAATGTTTATCATCAAGACGCATAGGCCAGCTGATTTCGTGCGGTCGATCACCAATGAATATTAGGCTCCGATAAACAAATGAATAAGGTTATTTACTTAGGGATTACAGAACATAAATACGTCTTGATCCTCCATGCTCTCAAATTGTTCTATTCGTTACGGGTCGTTAAAGTAACGGGATGAGGTGATTTTCTTAGTCTGATTGATTGTGCAAGCCCTTCATAGTGATCGTTCGCGATTAGCTTGTGGTCTATGTTCCCCCATGAATAGTATAAAGTAAAACTCACCTGTCGCTTGACTTATGATAGCATCGTCACTGGTACTGCAGGTCTAGGTACCCTAGGTAGGCAGATCTACTAATCGGGAAGACCAAGATAAGTAGATTAAAAGTTTTGATACGGTGTCACCAGTAATCCCAACAACCCTCAGGTGGGATGTTGCACATCTACTCAGTAGGATTTGTTGTGGTGCATGTACTGTACCGTTAGAGGTCGACAGTCTGACATTGGTTGTATTTGATGGCTTTCGACAATGAGGTGATTGGGCGAAGAATGAAGATAGCACTCATATACAGTAAGGTTGACCGGATAGCGGCACAAAGGACGAGTTCTTCTTCCTCGTAAATGACCGGAAATGCCTTATGAGGGCATGATCGGTTCTGTTTAACGCTTGTTGTCGTAACCTTGTATATAGAGGGCCTTTGCAGGTAGAACGTTTTAAAACGTTGTGATTCCAGCAGTCAGCTGCATTTGAACTGAGAGTAGTGGTTTGCGTAACACCGGGAAAGGCCTTTGTGTAGTTAAGAGTGTATCGCAGGTTGGGGCAACGGTGGCTATTTTCCGGCATTTGGACGATTGAGCTTGGCTGGTTGTGGTAAAGGTTGCATGTGACCAACAGTCGTTCACACCAATGCATCGAAGCGAATATAAATTTACAGTAGGTCAACTTCACACAGTCATCATCACTTTGGGATCATAGTAGAACTGAGATTTTCATTATCACTAGGCTTTCACATCGAGAAAGCTCTGCAAGATCAAATCCTGGCGGAGAGCTACATATGCAGTTACTGATGCACGTGAATTTGTGTGGGTCAGCTTTGCATACATCATTGTATCTTCTTGGGGATGTTTATTCAGAGGAGCGCCGTCCGAATATATCTGATTAACTAACTCCGCGGTTTTCCTGACCAGTAGAAAATTGAGAGGTGTTCAGCTTTTCTGGCCTTAGACAGGTAGCATCCTTAAGCTCGTGGGGATTGTTGGCGGTCACCGCATCGGGGTGCAAGAAACCACTTGGAGAATAACAAACAATTCAGAAGACAGCTTCTAATCCCCGTGGGATTGTTGGCCTGATCAGGCAGTTTCCCGTCTCTCAGATAAAAATTAAAAATATCATATTTTGTCCCATTAGAACTAGTCTAGGGAGGATTGCTTGAAGTGGTCTGTTTAGGCAACTGCACCATGCACATCATGTATCAACCGTACTGTTTTATTTACTTAATATCTTACTCACAACAGGCTGACAGCTTATACCCACTTTGCATCTGTTTGGGTCTGAAACCAGTGGGCGAATTTCACTGCCTCGTATCTTGCTGTACAATGATAAGGTTCATGAATGAGTAGTGTATATATGTGTGTGTTCAGAATGCACATACCCGTGGTCAATTTTCTCGGATCAAGGGCGTATCGCAAATAAAATAGTGATGGTTACAGCAAATACCGTAACCACGCTCCCCTTCTACACATATACGCTATTGGAATAACATTTTCAATAACCTGACCGAATGTAAATAACTCAACCATCTATCATGACGATTCTCAACATTCACACTCACACCCGCACTCACACCCACCCGAAACTCAAACCTCACCCCACACACGCACACATTTCTTGTCTTTGTCAGCTGGGATGCTGAGCAATTGCCGGGCTGATCAAGCGTCTCTCGGGCGCGTGTGGAACAATCTACGTGCACATCATTGTTGGGCCTTTCTCCAAGTCTTTCATCGGACAGTCCGTTAGCTGCTTCTACACACCAGTCACGTGTCAGAACATGGTGTCCCAACAAATTTATGCCAGTTAAAAGATTGGAACAAATTCGGATCTCTTGAACGAGGAGTGCAAACAGTTCTGTGAAATTCCTGAATTTTGTATTTTCTTTCCATCTTATCTTCGGAAGCTCCAGTGTGGTCAGGGGTGCGTGTCTAGGGTTGCGGCTGGTTATCCTTCACTTGCACTTCGCAAAATAATGCCATACGACCAAGTGTCTCAAATAGCCTCCACTGAGGAAGTCTTACCCACTACCTTCTCGTAGCGGAGGTGTTTTCCCACCAAAGTGAGAGATCGAAAAGCCAATATCTGGAGCTATAACCGGTTGGTGGACCAATGGTAGTTGGCTAAATCCAATGATTCCAAACGAACCAAGAGGAGGTGTACGAACCACACATCTTCCTGGTCGTAGTAGTGGTCACTGGCTCGATTGTGCATCTAGGTGTATTGGCCACCTTGGATGTTTGCCCCCGTCCAAAAGGGTGTATGATCCAACAAATAAACTGGACACCAACCCCTAATGGATTGAGGTTTTTCACACACCGCCCAGCTGCCTTGTGGGATGGGCTTTGGTTAACCGAAGGCCTGAAACATTCACCTGGGCAACCGAGCTGTATCGTGCTCTCGAGAAAATCATGGTCTTTTTCTTTGGTTATAAGGATTATTTTACCTTGATTTGTTTGGCGCTCGGTCGGAACTCAGATGTGTGTGTNGTGTGTGTGTGTGAAAATAAATAAACAACAATTTCTTTTTGAATTATCAGTCTTCTCATGTCTTAGCAGTGGTCAGGATTACAGTAGTTAAAGTGTGTCTGTGTGTGTATGATGGAGTCAAGTCTGACAGTAAATACTAAACGAGAATGTGTGTGCGTATGCGTGTGTACAACCCAATCTGTTAACTTACCATTGTGGTCAGTTGTACCGTACCCGGTTGGTTCACATACTGCTGACTAAGGTATGCGTAACCACCGTTGAGTAGTGGAAACGGCGTGTCCGGAACTGCTGGGAGTAGGCCGGAACTGTCACTCAGATTGTACGTCCAAGGTGCAGCAACACTGCCCAATCTGGTAACAAGTGCATTCTGATTGGATTGGAGTGCAAGAAATAATTGTAGTGGTTGTAATACTAGTAGTAATAATAATAATACGCACTGAACTCGTAATACGAACCACACAATACAGATCACGGAATACGAATCGAAGATTAGCAATCACGGACTGGATCACGTAAGCACTGGACCGCGCTGGCCCTTGCACTCAGTCCTACGTAACCGAAACGGGAGGAAAAGGTCTCAGCAGTAGTATTTCATCTATCGGAAGAAATAATGGGGATTAAATAATATGTGAAGATTTAGTTCACTGGTTATCCGGGCTTCTACCAACTGCTGTCCAGTATTGCTTGCGTCGGTCCGCTTCTGTCTGGCCCACACGGTCCCTGATTGGCTGGTACGATCTACCTATGGTCTTCAGTCATAAGCAGTGACACGTAGGCGCATTGTTGACGTCACTCGTGAAGTTTGATTGATAGCAGCTGTCTAAAAACTGGAACGCGTCGCTCAAGGGTAGGCGTCATCTCGTAGGCCTGGATCACCACAATAATGTCGCATTGTGCGAAACTGTTACGCATTGAAGCCCGTACTGATGTTGTGAATAACAACTGGAAGATCAACATGTTCTTTTCCTAATTTCTGATCACTCGCTAATTTTTCCACTCAGTGGTGATTAACTAACGATTGCTTCCAAACGATGACACATGCAGGAATTCCTTTTAAAAAGTCAGTAAAACCCCTTTGTTGACGTACGTCTCAGTCCCCAAAACGACATTCATTTGGGGCTTAAATCCATCAATCAACTGCCAATCGGATTACCAGAATACTGTCAAAAGTATCGTCGAATATCTAAACCAAAAACGTTCCACCTATGAGGTGAGTTTCATCCAATAATTGTATATTTTTCATAATGAAATACATTTTGTGACTTTTGTTCCCTAAAATGCCGATGGGCAAAGAATGAACATACACACACACGCACACACACATAGACACACTCACTGCAGCATCTTTGGTGCTCAACACGATTGTGAACGGTTCCCCTTCGACCACAGTTGCATTCACAGCGGTTTCAGCTGTGGTAGGGATTTGAATAGTCTCCGGCTGAGTGCTCAAACTATCGGTACCGGAAGTGAGTGCACTCCATCGATCACTGCCAGGTTGTGGCGGTGGTTGCAGCACTTGGACACTTGAAACAGGTACTTGTAGGGCTGTTCAGTGTCCAACCAAGAGTGGAAGGGGGAGCGGGAGGAGATGTTATAATGTGAAGAGAAATGAAACAATCAGGTCTGATGCGATCAGAAAATTGGAAGCGAACTCTTACGGTCTCCCAGCGTTACGAAAAATTGCACAAGTGAGATTGTTGGTCTTGGTCGCATGAGCAGTTTCGGAATGAATGAACACAAATTCCCCGGACGTACACCACTCCTGGTTGCCGTTCTGTCTTTCAGTTCGTTCACCAAAATATTCCTTATCCCAATGGTATGCTGGTTAACATGTTTGCCAATGCAACTAAGGCTTCTCCATTAACCTTTACGAACTGGATATCAACTTATTACCGATAAGAGGTGTCCATGGGTAACTTTAAGAAGATGGGTAGATCCTTCATTCTTTTGTATCAGTCCACAATCAGCGGTCATGGTTATATCGATGAAAAGTCATCCCACGCATTTCATTACTCGTTCATGTTACGTCCGGTTTCGCGTGTCAGGAATCAGAGCTTCCATGGCCAACTCAAACTTCGGTGGTTCAAGTCCCGTGAGGGTAAAAAGTTGTTCGCACGGTTGACGAGTCCTAAAATGGACGAAATAGCTATGGATGGCACCAAAAAAGGGAAGTTGAAAGTAATGTGGAACGATTGTAGCTCGGGACGCGGATGTTGGTATTTGCATGTTCTTAGCCTGACAAAGAAACATCTGCGAAAAACAACTCCACCACCACCAACAACAACATGGCAAATTGAAATTGTAGTGGGTGTAAACTAATAGAATGACTAACCAGAACTGAGCATGTTCGTTTGTACACTGTTGACCAAAGTGGTGGCTACAATTTCCATTGCGGTCGGCTGGGTGGCTGTCGGTGCATCTAGAACCGTGGCGGGTGTACTACTCGTATTCGTAGTGTTAGATGGTGGTTCACTGATTTCCAGAACAACTTGGATCCCTGTGGCAGCTCGACGTCTACGAGAACCACTGGAACGTTCGGAAACCACTTTTGCTACTCGAATCCGCGATTTCGGTATCTAGAATGCAGAAGTTCAGAGGAAAGTGGTAGATTCTTTCGAAAACATCACGAGCATGACTGGCATCATGTGCAAGCCCTGTCTCTCTAGGAGACCGGTACTCCAATTAGATAGTGTCTCAGGTTAGAGTGGACGTCCAGTCACTCGGAAAAGGAAATAATGCAATAAGGTATGAGTTTTGTTCACTGAATGCCATCTTACTTTCTTGTTCCCTCCAGCTGTTTTTCCTGTATTACTTAAATATTATTTCACAATGTTACTCTGCGGTCTAACAGTTGTTAGCCACGTTTCTTCTGTTCCTATGAACGACTTAACTGTGGAACTTTCTCAATATTATACAACTTCTTGTGTCAAATTTGCAGAGGACAGTCTCACAGATCCCGACCACCCATTCACTACACGCAGAACTGACGCGTTGTTGTTTCCATCCCTCCACACACACACACACACGCTCAATTGTGCTAGTTGTCATCTCGAACATAAAAACTTAGCGAAACTCACCTGTAGCCTAGCTTGTACGTTTACTGAAAAACAGGGAGCGGTCAACAAGTGAACTTTGTGTTAACCCCTGGATTGTGAAATACCTTCTACCCCGTATACTGTGTGTATACACTATTTTCCCGTGGAATATGTTCCCTGTGACGGTTGGCATGTATAGCTTTTAACTGAATTGTAAGCTTCATTATGTGAAAACGTTACACACAGTACAATACACTACAGTTCAAAGAATGAGACCACATATAGACAAACAGACAAACAACAAACAATACCGTTCAAAGCGACTAAATCACCAAAGCATGATCACCGGCACAGACAGGATAGATTGTTAACGGTATCTGATTCCCCGGGAACTTCCGCGGACCTATCGCTTTTCCCATTGTAATTTTGGATGTATTTTGTCATACCGAATATTCAATGACCGGCTAAGTGAGGATCCTGTTGCTTCTGATATGCTCCGTGAATTTCTTCCCTGCACTAGTCTCCTAAGTCCACGGTTCCGGTTTACCGTCTGTGCCCTCTTATTCTCTTTCTTAGTATATTTGTCCTGTTGTGGAATGCATTCACACTAAGTTAGAACTCTTGATCGATGACACTTTAGCAAAAGCACAAGTGAACATGTCATGGAATCTAACAAATTTTGCCCTTGTGTTTTACTAAATTTCAGAAAGAAGGTTACAGTCCATTCTAGGCTGTCCAGGGACCAACTAGACGGACGGAAGTGACGGAATTCGAACGAACGACCTATGGACCAGTGGATGATAAAGGTACCGATTTTAACAGCGTCGTCCAAAACATAAGGGCAGATCAGGAGGTTACTGCGAAAGTTAAATGGAAATATCGAAGAGTGACGCCCATAACTTCGGCTGTATTTGAACAGGATCACTTCGATCGGTCTGACGTTTATCACAAGAAGTACAGTTTGAAATGCCCAGTTTTATTAAGTGTTCATATTTTAGTTTCGTTAGTGTTTTTTGTTAAAGATGAGTTATAGAACCAGTTTAGTAGGTTTGGGGCATGTCAGCCCGTAACGTATGGCCGTCTTGAGTTGGTGGGAGGCTTTCGATTGGAGTTAACAGATAGTCCACTGTGCCCCACTTCGGTAATGTCGAACCAATGATGAACTGAACATGACACCGGAACAAACATGAATTGGAAATTCGGTTCAGCCCTGGGATGATCCGGTAGGCCAAGTGTTTATACACACACACTGGATGCAAGGGGTCCGGAGTTGAACACCCGAACGGGACGGTGGATGTGCATTACCGATGAACGCTAATAAGAAGGAAACTCTAGTCTATGGTGCTTTCGAGTGTATGGTTGACTGGATGAACTGAGGATTGTGCACGAAGGTAAAGTCCGAATGGTAGTTAGTTCAAATAAATCTCAAGTATCTCACAACACCACTCATAAGTAACTGCGAGTTATACGCTACGTTTTTATCTTAATCATTTCACCATTTGGTTTGCAACGGTACCCATTCATTGTAGGAAAACATATTCCCTCCAGCACTCGTCAAATTTGGCCCCTCCATCCAGTTCCCTCCCTCATCCACACCAGTCATATTCACTTACTCCCAAAAATGAGGCCAAATTGTCTAACACGTTGGATCCGAAAAACTCCGCCTCTGTCATTGCTGGCAGTCCGAAGGAAACTTTGATCACCGGCTGCAGACGAAGTTCCACCACCGAAGATCCCTTGATGACCACATAGAACAGTTGGGTAGTTTCATCGAAATAATTTGTTCCGCTTAAGTTCGCAGCCGGATCGGGCAAATATTGTCCGGCAAAGGTGGGCGCATTCAGTACCAGTTGACCCTGTGAAAAAACAATGATAGTCACGTTGACAGGGCACACGCTGACACCAAATTGCCAAATACAACTGGAATAAATGCAAATACCATTCAGTCGGGATCCGTCGCTTGATGTCCGTCGTACTGAAAAAAACCTCCCGGATTACAGTGAGAAAACTTTGCAGTGACAAAATTCAATCCAGATAGGTAAGAACACAATTTAAGTGAACATAAGTTTTCAATCACATTGATCTAAAACAAGTTCAAAAGGGTCAAATAGAAGAGTGGACGAGTTGTGCGTTTGGTAATGAGGCCGAGATAAAGACAGGCTGTCGGTGTTTGAACATCGCTGTCTACGCAGTATTGCACCAGTCTGGTGGGGCATCCGGACGAGGAATGCTGAGGTTAGGCGCAGAGTTTTAAGCAACTGCGGTCGCTCATTGCAGAAAGTGGTGAACCTCCATAGATTACTTTGATTACAGCATGTGTTACGAATGTACCCACCCTGGTATGAGGATATAGAAACTCTAATGAGGCGCCCCGGCCATATAGGTCCCGTTGTGCTCCCTGCCTGAAGACCTCGAGTAGATCGTAACCGGTGGTAGGAGACTGAGTGATATGGATGAGTGTCGTAAATGGTGGCATCTTCTCAATTTCTTCGTAACGTAAGTTCACTGAAATTATCCATCTGCTGTNTTCGACTCTACTATCATCTTTCCTGTCTTCATTTTACTGTTTATCCAAATGGGCGGTCAAAAGACAGCAACCCAAACCGACGCACAAAAGTACAGGGTTAATAATTGTAAAAACTGAAGCTGAAACTGAATGAGTTCGAGAGAACTTAAAATTGGTATGCTGTTTGGATTACGCAGCTAAAGTTCGCTATGTTAGGTCATGTTCATGTGAACAACAATCGATTTTCTCTTCTGTTGGCCTGAGGAGTTGGAGAGCTGGGATCAGTCTTCGTTGTGCATTTATCTATCCGCATCAAAGAACGTCATTTGGATCTACCACAAGTGCGATCCTCACCCACTTGGCAGACCATGGCTATCGTGATAGCCCGAGTGAAGCATTTTGCATTGTTTATCAAGTTAGCCAAAGCCGGTTTGAATATGTTAGAATGCGTACGTTGACTATAACCGAAGTCATATGTATTAAACATTCGACTCCCGAATGATGTGCCCAGAAGCGTCTTATCCAAGTTCTCCATCTCCCCTGGGTTCGCTAACTCATTCATCCCCCCCCGGCCCACACAAATTTTCACACAACAACACCGATCCCTCAAAACTGGGTAACACGACCAACGTGACAAAACTGAAAACCCCGGAGGCACAGATCTGAAAATGCGGTGTGCAACACACACACAACACAATGTGAATGATTCCTCACATTTTAATGTTCACATTCACACCAACGTGTTTTATCTTCTCATATAAACTGTAACAGCATGATTATGAGTCATTAAAAAAAACAATTGTTCACCTGAAATTGGGTTCTAAATTTCGTTTTGCCTGTTAAAATGAGTGAATGTTTATTCAACCTAATGATTTGGAAGGGAAGTAAATGCCGGACATCTTGTTGTTAGTCTTCTGTCCATAACGATTCCGATATCACAACATTTCTTGCACTGATAAGGGAGGCCCTCGATAACTGTTACTATGAAAATGCACCCGCGGAAGTCTTATTATTGATAGATGAAGATTAATAATATCTTTTCGTTTAAGAATGATAGCAGAAAACAGATAGACCTCATCAAGTATTACTTTTTCACATTTATGCAGTTTCTGGATAGATCAAGACCAATTTAGAATTCAATAAATTACCGCTCCGCAGTCGGGAGTTCAGTGTAATCGAAAACTTCTCCTGTGTACGCAAAAGGGAAAAGTTAGCCTCCCGACAATGGTAATCAGTGGACAGAGTGAGACACGTATCAGAGGAAACAGGCAGAGGCTATTGGGCGGACTCCATAAAAATAAGGAAGGGCAAATAGAGGATTGACAACATGAAGGTGCAATTGCCATATCGTGCCTCAGAGTCATTTTTATAAATACATTTGTTGTGACCCACAAGTGACTACTGATACGTTTGTCGTATATGCCTGTGGCCAGGTTGATTGATCGATTGCTTTGTTGACTGTTTGAATGCCGGCTTGACGGTATACGGATGTTATGTGACTTGTGAGCCTGTTTTGGCCTTCCTTTCTTTCTTCCTATGTGTTGCCCGTTTCTGCTAGCTCACCGGTCTATGAGCCGGCTACAGTATGTGTCGTCTACAATAAACGAATTGCTTAATTCGCTACGTACTTATCTACCTACTTAACCTAGGACACAGTAATAGTCTAATTGTTTTTTTTAATTTTTAGCATGCTTCACTATTTCACTACTAATGCACAGGTAACCGTCGTCGAAATCAGGAAACCATTCACTTCATTGGCGTTCGGCTAATAGAAGCAGAAACGAGTGGATATTAGTACAGATGTGTTGCGAGTGGTGTGGAGCAGCATCGAATTCA